AAAGGGAAAAAATTGAAAAAAAAAAAAAAAAAGGAAAAAAAATATCCTTTTTACAATTAGGAAAGCTTTACTCATAAGAGGTTGGTATGCACTTTGAGAGGGGATAATGGCAAAAGTGCCCACTTTGAATTCGGATAATATTTTCTCAAGAAAGTAGGAGTTTTGCTTAAACCAAACAGCCCTTAAAGAAAGTAGTAAGACATGAATCATCTTCCTTCTTTTCTTTTCTTTTCTTTTTTTTTTTTTCTATATTTTTGATTGCACAATGAGAAACAACTCTCTTTTATCTCATAATCCACTCCACTTACATGTCATGTAACTCAAATTTAAAACCTTTTACTTTCGTTAGAAAAAAATTACTAATAAACTATTTAAATTGTTAACATTTTCCTTTTATTTATTTGTCTTCTCTTTCATTTTATCTTCACATGCATATAAATGCCTTTTTTTCTCCTTTTTTTTTTTTCATTTTTTTTCATTTCCTTCTACTCAGATTGCCTAGAAAAGCAAGAGGGAAGGGGTAGGAGGGCGGAGGTTAGCCAAGCAAACAACTCCCTGTGGGATTGACTCTAAATTGTATTCATAGTTTCATACTCTGATCTTCCTCTGTTACACAGACCCTTTCAACTTGTATTTATCACTTTAAATCTTGCCGGTCCAGCTGGCGTTGGATGACTGGATGAGAAAGGAAGATGAGTGAGATTTTTCTTACTGCATGTATGAGTGTCAGAAGACTCATTTCAATTTGATGCTATCGCTTTCAAGGTCTCTCTATAGTTCAATGTTAGAATCACACCACAAAATACTAGTATTTGAAAATCCGATCACAAATATTAGGAACGCCCCGGCGCTTCGAAAACATATTGGAATCCAATAAACAAATCCTCCTCTTCTCCTTCAACTCGTCCAAAATCATGGCCCACCATGACACAAAATTCTTCATGTTTTGTCACCTTTTGCTTTCATCCTCTAATTTTTTTTTTTCCTTTGGACGGGGTCTTTCCTGTTGAAACTTGGAAAAAGAAGGATAGTTAGCACAGTGATCGGATCTCCGATACTAATAAAATAAAAAGTCCAACTTTATACCATAGGCATTGATAGAAAAGGCTTGGCAATTTTCTCTACAATCGGAGCTAATGTTATACTTGCACCTATTTTCTATTTTCAATTCTTTCACTCCATTCACACTTTTGTCCTTTCCGTGCGTCGGCATTTGCTGATTTGCGTAGTTCGGGTGCTGATACTTGAAGGTAGGGATCCACATTCTAGAGAGATTAAAAAAAAAATTAAAATGCCTTTATAATTAAAATGTTATAATTTTTTATAAAATTATTTAAATATTTTTAATAATTTTTTATATATTAATTTATTAAAAATATTTAAATAATTTTATAAAATATCTTGACATTTTAAAGATAAAGACTTTTTAATTTTTATTTTTCTTTAACTTATATAACTACTATTCAAATCCTTCAAATTTGTAGGCCCATTATGAATTATATGATGCTCTAATTGCAATAAAAATTCTTGTCTCTACCTTTCACTTTACATATGTTGAAATTAGTAAAAGAAACACGTAACAGAATTGGAACAGATATCAGATCAACCTGTATCTTCCATTCTTTGTGAGAAGGTAGTATGAAATTTCTTTGCAAAGCAAATAGGTCCAAAATCCGAAAGACTTTGCATTTTCATTAGATAAGTCCTATTCAGACTATAGTACAAAGTCCGAAAGACTTTGCATGTCATCTCCAACAAGAAAATATGATAAACAAATCTAGACTACGATGTTTTTCAATTTAATTTTGAAGGCACCCCACAAAATACCAGGATCCGAAACAAAACACGGAACTCCGCCAGATTTCTCCCATTCCTTTTGACTCCTCCAAAGTAATGGGCCACCACCATACACAATTTTTCCTAATGTATAGCCTACAGAAGCATGCCTATTTATAAACAAAAAGAACACCCCATTTCCATCTAAGATCCTTGTTATGCTACCTTTTTGATGTACCAAGAACCACTATGGCAACGATGCAAAATCCATGTCCTATAGCACAGCCATCAAATTGTCCACCACAACTGCCTGAGCCACCTTCTCCTCTTCACTCAGAATCATTGCAACCACCACTGCATCCTATTCCTAACCCAGAATCACCACAGCCACCAGATCCACCTTCTCCTCTTCACTTAGAATCTTTGCATTCTATTTCCAACCTAGAATTGTCACGGCCACCAGAACCACCTTTTCCTCTTGACCCAGAGTCATTACAGCCACCACTGCCTTCTATTCCCAACATAGAATCACCGCAGCTGCCACCACGACCACCAAGTTCCATGAGAGATGACCTGGAATCCCAACAAGTTCATTCATATGTTGCTCAGCAGAACCTGCAGTGGCAAAATGCCATACTTGCATTTTGCTTTACATCTGCAATACAAATATCTCTCCAGTTTGCAAAATCCCAATCCAAACCACCCCTTCCCTTCAGTTTGGTTTCTTTTGCAATCTTGCTTACATTTGCCCTTATCTCGATTGCAAAGATGATCAGCAGGGAGCTTACCAAGGTATCACAAGTGTTGGAGAATGTCGCATTTCTCATTGCTACAGCTACATTCTGCTACACCACCACAATTCCCTTCTCCGTTGGCTTCAAGTGTGTTGTCTGGTCTATCTTCACCATTTCCTTGCTTATTCTTGTCATTTACAAGTGCTTCTGTTATATTGTTGCATAACATTTATGGCATGTAAATTAAAAAGGAAGATGGCCTGGCTAGAAATAGCATCTCCTTTTTCCTTGTCTCTCTCTTTTGGAATGTGTAAGAAATAGCTTTCAAATTGAATCATTATTCTTTAAATTTACTTTCGTTTATGATCAATCATATCTATATTTTAAAGGACCACTTCTATTTCCACCATATTATTTTTTTTATGCTCAATACCTTGTATAATTTAAAAATCACAAACCTCAAGTTACTAACAAAATTAAGGTGTAAATAGGAAAATTGACAGTTAATTTTTAGATTTTTTACAAATTTTAAATTATAAAAAATGTTAACGGAGTAAAAATTTTGAGAGTGTGTTTACTGTAGGAAAAAATAATTTATGCAGCATGCAAATAGGGATTTGGATATTTTAAATCAATAAAGGCTTTAAGAAAACACAAGTACAAAACTACACTTAATCATTGAACAAGAGATTAATTGTTTATAAAGATCATTGGAACAAATAAGAAGTTAAAACCTGCACTTAACTTCATTTCGCAGAATCTAACCAATCATGGCTGGATACCATTGCATCTGCAATCTCTGGATTTTGGTCACTGAAGGTTGGGTTCATCTTCCTAATTTCCGGGCTAAATGTAAAAACTTGATATAGCTAAGCAATATATCCGAGCCATCCTCCTAAAATTGACAAGATTTCTTATCAAGATCTACTTTTAGTGCAGAAATTACGAATATTGCTTGGATTGTGAAAGCCTTGGAGAATGTTGTCTCAATCCAACCATGCCAATATCTGAGACAATATAAAAAGGAATCCAATGAATCAAATGCATAAATGCCAAATCTAAAATAAACTCTAACAGGATCATGATTTCAGGTAGAAATCGAAAATAAACCAACATTGTTTCAGCAAATTCAGGATGCAGGTCAGAGACTAAAAATCTCCAAAAGCTACGGCAGCGAAAACCCAAACCACCGCCGATCTTGCTGCTGCTGTCTTCAACGTCTAGGCTTCTGGTTCACGGTGGTAACGAGACTAGGCAGGGACGCCATCAATTGACCGATGACCTCGATGCAAATGCAGAATTGCAGATTGTTTTTCGTTTAAAAATAAAAAATAAAAAGAAAAAACGGTTGGAACGGATGATACTTAGGCCCAATGTGATATGTAGACCAAGCCTTATAAGCCCAATGACAAGGCCCATACAA